GCAGGAACAAAACAACGTATAGACAAACAAAGAGTCACTTATCAACCACTAAATCTGTTATTATCATATAGTTATTAGACTGAAACATAATTCTAACAACAATACAAGTTCTCAGCAACGTAGCTTATTATCAAACAATTATGAATTATCAACCGTTAAATAACAAGAAAAAGCATCAACCTTTTGAAACAAAATCCAATAAAGCAGTGAACTTTAACATGTTTTTAACATATCTGAAGGAACAAAAGTACAAACCTGTGGGAAGAAGCATCATCTTCCGTGGTGTCAGGCTTCCTCCAACTCATCTCAGTGTGGTCACTAGAACGCCCATTCCCAATCCCAAAACTCCTGTTCCCAAACGAAGATCCACCCTCTGCTTTCTCGCCCACCTCCTTAATCTTCATCGAATCGAGCTGCTCATCGATCTTTTTCCAGTCCTGTCCCTTCTCAGCCAGAACCTCCTCTCTCGGCCTCGCCTCTCCGAACGGGTTCGAGCCCTTCGGCTTCGCCGTAGAAGCCGCCGGCCCCGAACCCGGCGAGGTTACGATACTAATCGGCAGAGTTCGCGGCTGCAAATTCAGCCTTGGCCTCCCACTCTCGTTCACAGTCCCACCGCCGTTGCTATCCTCTTTTTTCTTGCCCCAGAAATCAGAATCCGCTCCACCGCCGTTCGATGTAAACCCTGCTCCTCCTCCTCCTCCTCTTCTCTCTCTGTCGAAGCCGCCGGACATGCCGAATCTTCGTCCCTCCGACGGCGTAAAGCTCTTATTCGCAACCCAGCTCTCCGATTCATCCGCTTTCGACTGCGAATCGAAGAATCCTCCTCTATCTCTATCCCTCCTCTCGAACCCGTTCCCAGCTACCGAGGGTTTCTTCGACGTCGCCCAATTATCAACCTCGTCGGCCCTAGAAGGACCCAAATCCCTATTCGCCTCCCGACCGAATCCGCCGCCACCGCTCCTGTCGGAGCCCCACCTTGACTTGGAGGATTCATCACCGCCGCCGTTGGAGTGGCGGGGG